ACCTAAATCTACTTTATCATCTGGGGGGCAAAAAAAACATGAAGTTTTGTGAAATGGAAAAACATCTGGATGTAAAACTGGTATAATAACCATGAAAGTTTAAACACAAATTTGCAAAAGGTGCAGTCAACACATTCAGGTACATATTTTCCCATTTAGAGAATATGGGGAAAATAATTTATTTTAAAAGGTTAAGAAAAACAAGCCATAGAAAGAGAGTAAACCCAGATAATGAAAGACAAGTGTAAATTAGTAAGATACTACAAAAAAGAAATTAAACCACAAAGTGCAGGAAACAGATCATAAATAAATAAAACTTTAAATGAGGAAGGAATAAACAAAGGAATTCCAAGGGGTCCCTTCCCAGGGAGAGCAAGAAAAATAGAAGTGACACTTTTATGAAGTATACAGTCAACGGAAAGGAAAGACTGTGAACCCAGGAAACAAAATCTCAATTTCAAAGATGTCCATGAGATACATGACATCATCTCTTTGAATTCTAATTACACAACATTCTTAGGCTTTCTTTAAAAAGAACAATGTCAAAATATATGAATTATGAAAATTACAGTATTTAACTTTCAGTACTTGGTAAAAATAAGTTTTTATACACTCTATTATATCACTGAAAACAGTTGCAAAAAAAAAAAAGAAGAAGAAGAAGAAGAAGAATTCAAAGGAAATAAAGTGTCAGAGAAATAAAAATGTCAAGTAGACTTCTTTACCAATTTAAAAGACGCTCAGAAGATAATAGGGCAATATTTTTAAAACAGAAAGGAAAGGAGCATCAACCTCAAAGTATTAAAAGCACTGTTTTCTCTCACATAGTTAATAAAAATATAATAAAAACTGTTCAAAAAGAAACTGCAATATACTGAAAAATTCTGGGGAAGCATATTTTGTCATTAAAACAACAACTTTCCACTGAAAACACAGGTAAAGACACAATTATCATTAACTTTTATTTCTTACATTAATCCATCCTGAAAATAGATTGAACCAATTCAGACGAGATTGGGCAAGTCCAGGTTGGTATGGCTGCAGACTGGATTGAACCAATTCAACAAGTCTTGTTGAAATAGCACTTTAGTGCTCTGGCCAGTGGGGCTCAATGGTTAGAATGTCAGCCCTCGCACCAAAGGGCTGTGAGTTCAAATCTCAGTCAAGGGCATGTACCTGGATTGCAGGTTTGTTTCCCAGGCCCCCTTGGTTGGGGTGCATGCAGAAGGCAACCAATCAATGTGTCTCTCTCACATTTCTCTCTTTCTCTCTCTCCCCTACTCTCCCTTCCCCCTCCCTTTCTCTCACAATATGTTTAATTCAATAATTAGTCTAAAATAAGGTAGTACAAAAGGGAAAATGTCTTGAGAACAGTAAGTGGTAGAAAGAATAAAAATGCAAAGAGCTATAAATTAAATAAGTCAAAGAGCTATATCATTTGTTGGCTACATTAGAAAAACCGTTTTGTTCCAGATAAGCCAATCCTGTCAAGTCTGAACAAGTGTGGCTCCAAAATCTCATAGACAGTTTACTTCTCTCAGTGATATTATGGGGGAGAGAAGGAGAAGGAAACAATCCCAGTCTTAAATCCCAGTGTACAAAGAGATATTTCCAGGTATTTGAAAGGTTTTATATATCATTGTCCATCTCCACAGATACTGGTTGGATAAAGCATCACACTGATCATGTTTCCTCAATGCACTCTCCAAATGCACAGGCAGAAGGATTAATCATCATGCAGAGTTAAAGTTGCACTTTAACCTTCACCCTGAACTTTTAGTTTCAGATTGTAGTAATTCTCTATGCTAGCACCATATAATAGAGTTCGAGGCTGTTCATATAAATTTTGGTTCAAAACCCTCAAGAAAACTCTATAGTTGATCTGATCTTTCACCATGTTTTTGTGTGTGTGTGTGTGGTACATGCCCCTAGCGGAAACCGAACCCAAGACTCTCTGGTCCACAGGTCGACGCTCAACCGCTGAGCCAAACCGGCCAGGACTTTCACCATGTTTTTAAAAAAATGGTTTCACTATGATCCTTAGCAACAAAGATAACATGGAGTAGAGCTATGCTAAAGTGAATCCTCGAGGTCAGTGCTATAATAAACTATTTTTCAGAAACCCACTGATCTTGATCAATTCCGGGAGGGGTAGAGGTGGGGACTCGGGTGTTTGCTTCATTAGGAGAACTTGCCAACCATGTTATTGGATAAGGCATACATCCAGAAAAGAACAACAGTTACCAAAGTTGTGCTTTATCACAAAAATGAATATTTACACTAAAGTAAACCCAAATATGAAATCTATTTTTAATCAAAAGATAAATAATAAATCTATAATTTTCTTCAGTGCAAATATCTTTGCTATCTTTTATAATATATATTCACTTGATAAATATTAAACCCATGAGGAAGAACTTGACTGTGCATGTTTCTTTTTAAAGACTGTTTATTTATTTTTTAATCCTCACCCAAGGACATTTTTTCATTTTTTGAAAAGATAGAGTGAGAAGGAGAGAGAGAAACATCAATGTGAAAGGAACACATCGAGTGGTTGCCACCCGCACAACCCAACCAGGGCCCAGAACAAACTGTTACCGAGGTACATGCCCTTAGCGGGAACCGAACCGGGTCTCTCTGAACCGCAGGCCAACGCTCTAACCACTGAGCAAAACCAGCCAGGGTTAAAGACTCTTTAAAAGTGATCTTTAACAAGATAAAGAGAATCCCAAATCTGTGATGCCAAATCTATGCTGATTTTAAATGGTGATTTAGACCACCTGATTTATGAAATCATCAATGTCTGCAATTAAACATTATATTCCTACTTAATTTCACTTTAGCAAAATATTACTGATGTGCCACAGAAAAGACAATATTGTAATAAATATTTCCCCAAGCCCAAGCAAAATTTTACTTTCAAATGGAATACAATTTAAATTACAAATACCAGAACCAAGAAACAGATATTATATAGGAAGCATCACAGCCCACCTTTCTTCTTGACTGGCATTCTTGGTTCTTTCCACTGCCACAGGATTCAAGATCTCTTTTCCGGTCTCAACTTGATCCAACTGGATTGAGGCCAAGAGCCAGGTAACTGTTGCAAACCACTTCACCTATTTAGTTTTGAAATCCAGGCTGTCTTCTCTTTCACATAAAGAAAAAATAATGTATTTTTTCCACAATTAAACTTTTGACACTGCCCACAGAGTTTGGAGAAATGTAACTTTTGAGTTTTTCAATTTTTTACAAAATATTTATTGTTTTTTTTTTTTAAGCTAAGAAAATTATTGTAAGTATAGAAAACGTTATTAAAACTCCTCTTCAGGCAGCAACATTTGGGGAGTTCAATGACTAACTCAGTTAAGGCACAAACCAAATTTGCAAAGCTGTTTCATTACTCAATACATGATCAAATGCAAAGATGAACTGGTTGATGAGAATGATCCTCAATTCTTTAGAGAAAATTTTAAACATCCCCCACAATCCCCCCCCCCAAAAAAATAATTTTGAAAGCCTCTTGACTCTGGTCTGTAAAAAGGTGGGTGAGTTTTAACAGTTTTCCGGAGCAGAACACAGACTGAAAGGCCCCTTTCTATTTACTGGATCAGAAGTTCCAGATCTCACCCCTCAGTAAGACAGGATCCAGCTTGCTGTCACTTTCATTTTTTCTTCTGTGCTCTCCAAGCCCCTCAGGCTTGATCCTTAATGCCCCCTCTGATTCTGATCCTCTCATGCATTAACCGAGAGGACCGAAAAGAAGGAAAGCAATCCCTTGGCATGGAGACATTAAAGTGACAGTGCTACTCAATGGGCACTTGATGCAGGATGAGTTGGCGAAGCAGAATTCTTCACACTGGAGTCATTCACATCGTGCCATTTCTTTGCATCCAAGCAGCTGCCTATCCAGCGAGGAGAAACACTGAGACTGTTCCAGAGAAGTCAAACCTTCCCGCAAAGGTGTTTTCGGAGACGCTGTAGTAGTATTAGGCATGTGAGCACCAGCTGTGCAAAGGGTTGGCGATTTCCTAAAGGAGGGAGTTCGGCCGCTTGGCTTCCACATCCACCCTTTCTCTCAATCTCTCCCCAAACTACCCACCTTCCTTTTGCAGAAAAGATAAGAAATCTCCGCTACCGCTGGCCACCCCTGCCCACACCCTGTTCTTATATAGAAGAGCACAAATGTCCTGCACCCTCCACGCGATGAAGTGTTTCCTCAGGCAGGAGAAACAGCAGCACTAGAAATTATATAACTCTCGAATTTGGCTTCTCTAAGACATGGAGACTGGAGGGTCGGGGGTTGCTGGTCTGAGAGATAAGGCTGGGCACAGAACGTGCACAAAAGGGCGCCAGTCCTCGCTGCGCCCCCCACCCCGAAACACTGGCTGGCAAGGGGGTCTTCTCGGGAAGTGGGGGGCAAAATTTCTTTCCGGTCCCTTTCCAAGCGGAGTGACAGGATGGGATATGAGGGCACTAGAGATTGGGGAGAGGAGTCAGACGGCTGCGAGTGGAGGAGGCCAGTCGGAGATGCCCAGGCGGCCGGTTGGGGGCTCAGGGGAGGAAGTGCCCGAGAAGCCAGAGCCTTAATACACGGGCCAGGCCAGAGGGGCGAGCTCTCTCAAAGAGTGAAAGGGGCGGGCAGCTCGGCCCCCGCTAACAGAGGTGCCCTGAAGAGAGGAAAGCGCGCAGCAACACCCCTGAGCTCGGAACACCCCACGTCCCCCTCCAGATCCGAGAGGGAGCTTGGCTAACAAATAGCAGGACAAGGGAATGCAGGGCTGGCAGGAGGGGCGGGCCTACGGGCGTCTGGACCTCCTCAAAGCCAATGAGCAGCCGTAACTTCAGGACGCTGCGCCCAATCACGGCCAGGATGGAGGGCGCGGCTTTTGACTGGGTCGGGGCGGGCCGGGACTGCAGGAGAGAGGCGTGAGCCGGCAACACTGCCCACCCCAGGCGCTCTGGGTCCCCGCCCACCTGCTAGTCACGTGAGCCCCAAGATGGCGGCGCTCGGGCGCGAGGCTGGGGCTGACCCGAGAGCTAAAGGTGTGTTGCCGGTGGGAGCTGGCGAAGTGCCCAAGGTAAGCGGAAACCCGGGGTGGTTTGGACCATGATTTATGCAGCCTCGGTGTGCTGGAGGACTCTTCTGAAATGATGCAAGTGCAAAGAATTTGAAAATCTAAAGAGAATAGCTCCCAAGTCCATGGGTCGCTCAATCAGTTGAGTCCCCAGTTGCCATGGAAAGAGGCAGAGAGAAAGTAGGAGACCCAAAGTCAAGTCTCGATTGCTTGCCCTTTGGTTTCTCTTGCCTCCAGGCCTTTGCACTGGCCTCAACTTCAACTTGAAATACCTTCCTGCACCTTTTCCTCCCCACCGTAGTGCTCGCCAAATTCTCCTCTTTCAGATGTGTGGATTTTTTTGATTGATTGATTTTAGAGAGAGGGGAAGGGAGACAGAGAGAGACATCGACTTGTTCCTCTTATTTATGCATTCTTTGCTTGATTTTTGTGTGTCTTGATCGGGATTCAACCGTAACCTTGGCTATTCGGACCACCTTGGCTTTCAGGACCACGCTCTAACCAACCGAGCGTGCCAGTAAATGTCACTTACCACGGAAACCTTCCCACACTTCCTCTAGCTAGGTTAAGTTTGGCTTTTCTTATGTTTTTTTTTTATTTGTTTTGATTTGTTTTTTATGACACTCATTCTGTGCTTAAATTACTTGCCTTTTTGTTCTGACCTCCCGCTGGGTTGTGGATCCCTGAGGACGTAACTACATCCCAGGGGTTGTCAAATGATGAATGAATGTGTTATAAAATTTGAAGGTCAAGTGAAATAGTACACATAAAATCACTACAAACCCATAAAACACGTTGCAAACTATAAACCTTCATAATTCACTTATTCCAGTCTATTGAGTGGCCTTGAAGTAATTTTTTGATAAAATGTTGGTTATAGCAAAATCTTTACATTTAAATACTTGTTAAAAGTCTATCAGAAAGTTACCCATCTATCTATTTCTCTGCTTTATTAACAGTGCCTTCCAAAGAGTAGGTAGCACTCAAATATTTGCTGTCCTGTTTGAGTATTTTAGGATCATAATCCTGGATGCCTGTTCCCTATATACTAAGAATGTAGACAAGATAGGAAATTGGTACAAGTCATTGCCTGAAAATTGTCTTTGTGGGAGTAAGGAACTTCAGTGAATTGGATGGCAACAAAACATAAATGTGTCCAAGGTTTCTGGTTATGTTACTGACATCTGCCTTCATAGAACATTATAGAACCTCCCTCAAATACTATCTCTTCTCTTCCATTTTCCGTTTAGATGCCAGAAAGGGGCAAAAGATTAAGTCTACTCCCTGAGAAATTGTAATTTGTAATTTAAAAAAAAAAAAAAACTGCTTGAGTACAGTCTGTAATGATGCAGGGAAAGAAACTTGCCCATTATTATTGTGTAATACCGTCCCTGTTGGATTCCTGGTCAAGGCACATGCCCAGGTTGCAGGCTTGATCTCCAGTAGGGGGCGTGCTGGAGGCAGCCAGTCGATATATCTCTCTCACATCAATGTTTCTATCGCTCTTATCCCTTCCTCTCTATATATAAAAAAAAATCAATAAAAACATGTTTAAAACATTTTTTCTCACGGAGATCTGAGAAACTTACCCAGAGCACAACATTCAGAAAGGAACCTTTCTGAGGATCTAGGGTGTTTTTTCTATTTGTTTTAGCACTGGTTTTTGTTAAGATGCTACTGGCCAAATTCTCATAGTCCCTTGACATTGACGGCCATCTATTCATACATCATATTTGGGACACAGGAGCCTTCTAGCCCTAGAGCCTAGTGCCATGGGTCCTAGCTCACTTGTATACCACACAGCAGTTTCTAGTAAAGGCCCTGCTTTGCCCCAGGTACTACTAGGGAGCTGGATATGTGACAAATAATCCATAGCCATGATCCACTGTCTCTTCCTAACCTGGAACAGTGTCCCTCGTTCTGAAGTTCTCTCTCACTATTCAAGGCAATCCCTGCTCTCTCCAACCTCTCTAGGAAACTCAAACTCAACATAGTCTCCAAAATGAGCTCAGGCTTTCATAAGACATACGTTAGAGATAGTTGTCGACAAGTAGCTCCTGTTGCCATCCAGTTCTGAAAAAGCTAGAGCAAGGAGAACTGCAAAGGGTCTGGGCTACCTCTGGGAAAAACTATAAGGAAAACAAAAATATTTCAGTAAGTTACTCTTCTACACTAAGTCCTAAGGCAAGTCAACCTTTCTAAACCTTATTTTTCTCATCTGTAGGTAGAGATGATCATTATACTACCAATTTTTTCAAAATTGTTGTGTGACTCAAAAAGTCACTGTCTAGCAGATAATATGAGCTCACTAAATGTTGATTGGATCATTAACACAGTATGTGAAAGTAGATGACAATACCTGACACATGACAAGGGTCTAAATGTTTTTTAATCTGAATCTGTAGCTATTATGGTTCTCAAATTTTGTGTTTTCCAGGACATCAAGACGGCAACATACATACATGATCAACCCAGTCCTTCTCTAGGACATACAATATTCAGAAGACCAATGGTCATTGACATAATAGAAAAAAAATTTGAGGATCTTAGAAAAGAAAAGTAAGAGACATACCCAGACTGAAAAGCAATTAACTTTTTTTGCAGATCTTATGTATGGCCATTGTTTCTGAATGAATATCTAAGATCCTGTTAACTTTATCAAGTTGGTTATGAAGAAAGTTTATTTTTAAAAAAAGAACTGGAGAAAAACATGGACAGATGAAAATAGTGGTTTGTTGGAATATTGGGACTGGATCGTTTCTTTTGCTTCTTAAAATATGCCCAAAGTTGTTATTGAAATGTTATTTGTACGATAAACATATTTAAATTAAAAGTAACTAGGAGAATCCTGGCCAGGCAGCTCAGTTGGTTGGAGCATTGTCCCATACACCAAAAGGTTGAGGGTTTGATTCCCAGTCAGGGCCCATACCTAGGTTATGGGTTCGATCCCTGGGTCAGGCACGTACAGACGCAGTCAGTCGATGTTTCTCCCCCCCCCCCCCCTTCTTTCCCTTCCTCTATGTCTAAAATCAATTTTAAAAATAAACATATTCATGGGTGAGGATTTTAAAAAAAAGTTTTTTTTAAGTATTTAGGAGAATACCATATTGGGGGCTACTTATATTTTATTGATGATCAATTGTAATTAAATTGTTTAGAATTGATTACCTTAACAGTGCTGAGTTAAAAAAAACAGGAATACATATTCCATGATGTACATATAGTTTCACGTTATGATTTTGACTTTTAGATTATTAGGGCTCAAAAATCAAAAGATGTTGACCTTAGACCTTACACATTTCTGGATTTAGGTGTGAGTCAGACTAAGTAAAACTAGATCCAGCAAATCTCTTTTGATGAAGTTTTGCAAATCCTCTCAAATTACTTTAAAATGTATTTTCTAGAAGGCCTAACCAAATGTAAACTTTTTTCAAATGGCCTTAGGCAAGACCTGTCTTCTTGGATTTAGATAGCTCATAAAATTTGGCTACCTTGGAACATATATTTATTTGTGGCCAAAATTTAGTTTCTCTTTAAAAGAGCTCCATTTTAGAGCCATTCTAGTCTTAGAAAGAGAATTATATCCTCTGGTTAAAGTGGAAGTTCCATGAGGGTGGGACTTTTTTTTTCTTTATTCACTGCCCTATGCTCAGCATGTAGAAAATACCTTTCACACATTAAGTGCTCAGGAAATGCTTGATGTTGAGTAAATATATAATAATAAGTGACTACCAGGAAATAATATATCCATTAGGAAAATATTATGTTGAACTTAATTATTGTTTTTTCATTAGGACTTTAAATATATATGGAACACTGATCTTTGGAACAACAGCTAGTTTTTCTGGAATGCTGGCAAACTTCATTTTCAGACACTGCTTCAAGGTTAAACATGGTGCTGTGAAGACATATGCATCATTGACTACACTTCCATTTTTGTCTACTATAGTTGCTTATAAGCTCCTTGTTACAGATGCTTTGTATTCAGGTAAATTTAAATTCATTAAAGTATAATGTGTTCATGTCTAAGTAATATTACCCATTAACATATAGTGTTGCTACTGCTAATAATAATCCCTTATATTTGTGTATTGCTTTACCACTTACCAAGTGCCTTCACATATATTGTCCTATTTCATCCCCACAACAGTCTTCCTAATCAGGCAGCACAAGTAGTATTGTCTTTTTTACAGAACAGCAACAAAATCAGACATTTTCAAATCTGAGAAGCAACATAATATGCTGAGGAAAAAAGCAGGCTTTGGCATACTATACATGATTTCATATCCTACTTCCTACCACTTAAGTTTTGTGACATTGGGCAAATAATTTCATCTGAGACTCAGTTGTCTTATCTATGAATTAGGACTAATAGTACTTACTTCACAGGATTGTGAAAATTAAGATAGTGTATGTTAAATACCTAACATAGTATCTGGCATATTATGGGCTTCTAATGTTATTTCTTGCCTTCTCCCCTTACTTTAAGTTTCACAACTAGTAATTGATGGAACCTTTGACCCCTGTTCATCAGGTCCCTACTTCAATATCTCTTCCCTAGGGAAACCTTCTCTGATTCCCTTAGGGTTTCCAGATACGTTCTCTATTCATTTTATCTTCAAAGCATTGTGCACACTTAAAGTTATTTAAATAAGTGTCTAATGTCTTTCTGTTCTGATAGATTAGCCTGAAGGTTAGAAATTGGGTCTCTTTTTATGCATTTAGTTTATTATATGCCATAGACTGAGTTTCTGTTATTCTTCCCACTGTTTCACTGTGGTTGTGGACAGTGCAGATAACTACTCTTTGAGGGCTCAAGACTTTCTTGTTTATCCTGAATTTTTAAGGGAAACCAAATTTATTTTTGTTTTCCAGGTAATATAAGCCAGGAAAATTGTGCTGTGAGAAGTTCCCTGGTTGGCATTGTATGTGGTGTTTTATATCCCACTGGTTTGGCTTTTTCTAAAAATGGACGTCTGGCAGTAAAGTAAGTCTGTGTGTTCCTTCTCTTTCTTCCTTTTTTCTTTAAACATTAGTAAACTCTTCTTACTATTTAGCTGCCTGTGACACATTTTAATCAAAATACCGTAGTTTGGTATTTCAAATAGCTAACTTTTAACCTTTTTGCTAGCTACATGAAAGACTTAGAATAGAAATGATCAGTTTAGGAAAAATCAACAATTTTTCATAGGATATGCATTCAGAAGCACTTACCCCTTTTTCCCTTTTCAGGTATCACACTGTTCCTCTGCCACCAAAAGGAAGGGTTTTACTTCATTGGGTGATGCTTTGTCACACAGAGGTAAAAGGAATGTTGATTCCTCTGGTCTTTCAGATGCTCTTTGGAGTATTTAATGGTATACAACATTATGCAATATGTGAAAGTACATTTGCAAAAACTGTACATGAAGATTAACCAAAGAATGAATGGACTTTTTTTATGATGAAGACTCCGGTATTGCTGAAAGAGTTCAAAGTAATTCTGGACAATTTGTTTCTGTTCTTTTTGTCTAGTATATAGCAGGGTCTCAATAAATATTCAGTAATTCAAAAAATATACTTTTGTCTTTCTTCCTCATTGTATGTGGAAATGGATTTGAGGCCTCAAGTTCCGTTCTATACATTTACATATTCAGTCATTCATCAAACATTTATTGAGTATGTGCTGCGTCTCAGGCACTGTGTTACATGTAATAAGAAACTGTCCTTATCCAAAAGGAACTCACAATTAGAAGATAAATTAAAAATGTGAACACACAGCCCAGCCAGTGTGGCTCAGTGGATTGAATGTCTCCCATGCCCAGGTTTCGGGCTTGATCCCCAGTAGGAAGCAGTTGATCCATGTTTCTCTCTCACATCGATGTTTCTTCTCTCTAAAAAATCAATTAAAAAAAAAAAAACATTTAAAAAAAAGTGAACACGTGGCATGAGAGGGTTTGAGAGGTATACACATAATTTTTTTTTTCTTTATTGATTTTTAGAGAGAGAGGAAGGGAGAGGGAGAGAGATAGAAACATCGATGAGAGAGAACATTGATTGGCCACCTCCTGCATGCCCCCCACTGGGGATCAGGCCCACAACCTGGGCATGTGTCCTGACTGGGAATCAAACCGGTGACCTCTTGGTGCATGGGTCGATGCTCAACCACTGAGCCACCCCAGCCGGACGGTATACACATAATTTTGTGGGCACACTGAGGATGTGGCTATTAACTACATGGGCAAAAGGGAAGGCTATAGGGAAAACGTGACATTTTGACCTAAATTTTGAGGAAGTTGAAAGTTCATAAGAAAGCAAAATACAGAAATAGCATGTAGCCCGTTCCTCTACCCTGAACTCTGATTCAGTATACTTACTAGTTTTTTATCATTAACAAATTATTTTCACTGTGCCATTTAGAGTGCCTATTTGCTATGCATTCATATAGGCACCAGGGGTACAAACATCACTGTGTACTTCTTTAAGTCTGCTAGGCATTCTTGAGCAATACATTTACCTTAGTTCAGGAATGAACACTGTCTGATGAAAAGAATAAGACACAGAATGGAACCCAAAAGCCCATTCTCCTTGTCTCAATTGTATTCATATTAAGATTTAAGATTTGGTCATCTGAGCCCTGGCCAGTTTGGCTCAGCGGTTGGAGCTTCGGCCTGCGGACCAGAGTCCTGGGTTCGGCTCCCACTAGGGGCATGTACCAAAAAAAATAAATAATAAGATTTGGTCATCTGAGGCCCCAAGCAACCCAAAGCAGAAATGGAAGTCTTAAGGTGCTTATGGCATACATAACAAAACTGAACTCTTGCTAATGAAAAAAAACACTAGTAAGCCATCTAGCTTTGTATTCTCAGAGTGATTCATGATACCTGAAACTACAAGGAAAGGGCAAATTATTGGGGAGGCTAAGGAGGGACAGGGGGAATCAAGTCAAATAGACAACTAGATCAATGGTATTCATATATCAACTCTTTTAAAAATTAGTATGAGCACATGAGTACTTTCTCATTGTGAGATATTCAAATGATCCAAAGTATATATACAGGCTGGGGTAAAAGTAGATTTCCAGTTGTGAGTACATGAAACAAATAATTCTTGTAGTATTAATTTATTTCATTATTTTCCATATGAACTGTAAACCTACTTTTGCCACATATTTGTTATGTAGAACAAGACTTGAAAAGTCTTTCTGCTCTCCCACTCCATCCTATTTCTACTTTGTTACTCAGAGGTAACCACTATCAAGTCAGCATACCTCTTTGCTTACAGTATTCATTTGTAACTCACATATTTTTAAAATAAATTATCCATACATATGCTGAAAAGTTTCACTTAATTTTGTCTTGGAGATCTTTCCAGCGCATTACATATAGGTCCAAAACATTATTTTTAGTGGCAGTACATTCTTGATGATTCCAGTGTTCACAAAGGTGATCCTTCAACACCCTGGTCTCTACCCTACCACTTATTCCCATGGTCATACGTTAGACCTGTCTGATATAACAGTCAGTAGCCATTATTCAGCATTTGAAATGTGAATAACCTAAACTGAAATGTGGTAAAAGTGTAAAAGACACATCAAGTTTTAAAGATTTACTATGTAAAAAAAGAATGTAAAATATCTCATAAATAATCAATCTACTGATTACATGTTGAAAGGTTACTCTTAGTTATATTGGGTTAAATAAAATACATTAAAATTAACTTGTTTTTTTAAATGTATCTACTATAATTTCAAATTATATACATAACTCATATTTTATTTCATGTTGCTCTAGACCTTGTCATTATCAATAAATTCAAATTCTCCACATTTTCCATTTTAAAATCCTATTTTCTTATCACTGTCTGCTGTCCTTCAAGCTCATTTCATTCTCATACCACAACTCCAACATTATTTCAGCCTCACCAGAACCTATAATCCATCAATCCCACTACCTTTTCACTGTCCCTCACCCGCCTCCCATCCTTACTGCCCTTCTGCACCCTCACCCACATCTATCTTTTTAGTTCCCCAATCCCAAGGCAAAAAGAAAAAAACAAAAATGAGTCTAGCTAAGGTTGATTTTTAAATAAAGATATTGGCCCTTGTTTTCTTTCGTGAATTTTCTGTTCATATCTTTTGACCATTTGAATTGTAGAAGCTCTATAAATTCTTTTTTAGGCTCTATAAATTGTTTATTTCTTCATATGCTTAGGTAGTAATCTGGGAAATACAGCAAGGTTGACTTACGTTCATCTCTCCTGCCATATGAAAGCTGAAGAAATTTGTACCTCGCTCCATGATTTCACTTTGCCTTTTCTACAATAGAAAAAGCTGGGAATTCTTGCCAAAATGGTTGTAATCAGTCTGAAAGGGGGAATTAGGGAAACTGATCTGGCCTGAGCCCAAAGCTGAAAATAAATGTGAACCACAGTGAAGAAAGGCAGCAAGGTGCTAGAGGCAAGATAGTTCAGAGGTGTCAAGTACAGCCTGGAGCTCCACTGTCAAGGTTCAAATCCTGACTGCACTAATTACCAAAGGATGACTTTGAACAAGCCGTTTCAACCCTCTGCACCACAGTTCCCTCATCTGTGAAATGAAGAATAGTAAAGACGGTATTAAGTCAGGAGTAAATTGGTTAATATATGTAAATCAAACAAGAAGTCTATATGTATTGCTGCCATTGTTGTTATTACTGCATACACAATCCTTTCCCTAGACTGTAGTTATGAGTGTAAACTTTTTCTAGGAAAGGTTATAAAGAAGCACAACAAAGAAAATTCACAAGATATATTTCATTTGAATATGTTTTCATTTATTCAGCTGATAATTGATGCAAGACCTAGTGTATGAAAGACATTGTATACCACACACTGGGCAAGTTACTTAACCTTTCTGTTTCCTCTGAAAACATACTAATAAATCCTTTGCACTGAGGTTATAAAGATTAAAGGACATGGAATCACACCTGGCATATAGGAGGTGATCAACAAATGTGTTTATATTGTCCATTTTCCCTAATGAGTGTATAACAATGACTTAGATGTTGTCCCTACAAGGAGAACTTCCTTTCTCTTTTGCCTTTTGTCCCCATTTCTTCCAAATGCCTTAACCATGAGGTTTTACTCCTGTTTTTTTATTGTATTCCATCACATTGCACAGCATGCAATGTATTGTACTGATTTTTCTCCCTGCTTTTGTACAATTGCATTGTCATGTGTAAACTATTCAGTATTTGAATTTCCAAGTTTAAGCAGTAATATAATGAAGAAATGGCATTCTACAGATGTGGCTGAATTTAATAGAATTTGTTCACTCCTTTCTAAAGCTTATTTAAAAAGAAAAAGATTCTTCTAAAGATAAATAACCCATACTCTTCTACCTTCATGATTCTATCCCTATAAAGACAGTTACACTAAAGTTAATAAACACAAATACTTGAATCTTGGTAGCCCCAACCAGCTTCAATAAAGTAACAAAGTCCCCCTAAAGCCACTCAAAGATTAGTCATAGCAAAAGAAAATATTAGTGAACTTGGATAGCAATATAAACTTCAAAATAAAACTGATAAAAAAATGAACATAGTGAGTAACCTTATATACCTGTAATTGAAGGCTAAGGAGAGGATGAGCAGAAATTTTATTTTGAAATATTCATGGCTAAAAATTTTCCAAACTTCAAAACTGTAAAACCACAGATTCAAGGAATTCTGGTCCAAAGTGGCGACATAAGATGCTCTTAAACTCACCTCCCAAAGACACACTGAATCTACAGCTACACACAGAGCAATTCCCTCTGAAATAAAGAAACTAGTTGGGTGACAACTACACATCAGGCAAACGAGAAAATACACAAAGCAAATGGGCAGGAAAGAACTGAAACACTCTCACCATAAACCCCACCCAACACAGCAACATACAATCAGGAGGAATTTCAAAAATCTCAGCTTCACCCTAAGGCAAAGGTTTGGACTGAACAACCTAGTGCCCCAACATTTAAGACTTTCACCTGAGGGAAGGGCCCCCAAAATATCTAGCTCTGAAAGCCAACAGGTTTGCTGTACATGAGACCCCATAATACTAGAGCAAACAAAAAAGCAGTTGTTCACTGGCAGAAACACTCACTACAGCTATCTCCCCAGTGCAAAGGGAGCAGGTAAAAAATATCCATCTCCCAGTTTTCCCTGAATGAGGTCTATTTACACACTTTAAAAGATGCTGCCTGAGGGTCAGAATTCTAATTGAACACATCTGGGAGCCAACTACAATTCTTCCTGGACACTAGGGGAGCCAGCAGACACCTCCATACTTATTCTCCTGAGGCCACTTCAAGTCACCAGTATCTCCCTAGAAGGAGCTAATACACACATCTGTGTAACAGCTTTCATGCTGCCACCCCAGGGTCATGTCCCCAGATCTGGCTCTGATAACCAATGTGCTTCCATTCACTAGTCCCACAGGACTAGAACAAACAAAGAAGCAGTTCTTAAACCAGCTATAATCCTCAGGGCTCAGCAAAGAAGGAGCAGGAAGAAACCCCCACCTCCCAGTCTTTCCCTAAAAGGGATTTATTCATATATTTTAAAAGATACTGCCTGATCAGGTTTCTAATATAGCAGGCATCTAGGGGCTAACTGCAATCCTCACCAGAGACCAGGGAAGCCTGTGAACACCCTTTACTTTCTCCCTCCAGGCTGCTCCAAGTCTCAGTATCTCCCTGAAAGAAGTTTGATGTAGTCCCATTTGTTTATTTTGTTGTCTTGGCTTTTTGTGTCATATCTAAAAAAATCATTGCCAAGACAAATGTCAAGGAAACAAAGCAGTCTTAAACAACCAATAGGTCAAAAAAATTATAAGGAAACTTAGAAAATATCTAGAGACAAAAATAAAAGCACAATATCAAAATGTATGGATGCAGTGAAAGCAGTACCAAGAGGGAAGTTTATAATAGTGAATATATTAAAAAAGAAGGATCTCAAATAGAAAAGCTAAACCTACACCTCAAGGAACTAGAAAAAGAAGAACAAATAAACCCTAAGTTAACAGATAGAGACACAATAAAGATTAGAACAGAAATAATTGAAATAAATAGAAAGCAATAGAGAAAAAAAACAATGGAACCTGTGGTTGGTTTTTTGAAGAGTCACAAAATTGACAAACCCTTAGCTATAATAAGAAAATAAGACTCAGATAAAATTAGAACTGAAAGGAGGGAGTTTACAACTGATGTCACCAATATAAAAAGGATTATAAGAGACTACTATGAACAATTATATGCCAACAAACTACAGAACCTGGAAAAGATGGACACATTCCTAGAAACATGTAACCCGCGAAGGTTGAATCATGAAGAAATAAATCTGAACAGACCTATAACTAGTAAGGAGATTGAAGTAGTCACTGAAAAGCTCCCAAAGGCCCCCTTTTCTCTGACTTCTTAGTGAGCCAAAGCAGCCCAGCCAAGGCTCATTTCCACAACCTCTTCTTGTTTCACTGTCCCCAGCTTTAATAAATGTCCCCTAAAATTCACCTGAACTCATTTTGTGAAACTTTTCCTGCATGAAGTCAAGAACCCACAGCTACCCAAACAGCCATTGGCAGACTCGCCAAGACTTTCCGGTAACACTCAGAGGCTTGGGCCAAGACTTTCCTTCTCAATTGTCCTGACTGCTGAAGCCGCCAGGCTCCCTCGCTGTATAGTTTTCCCTTAGCCACACTCACCTACTCTTGCTTTTATAAGCAGGACTAGGCAGGGCATCAGGGAATCCTCAGGAAAACAAGATCCTTCTCTTGGGGTGCTGATTATCTTGAGGTGGGACAATAAACCAGATAGCAACATGGCACAAGGAGCTAAAGATCCAAGGGAAAGAAAATCGGTGGAGCAAATAAACCTCAGCTCCTTTTTATTTCTTTTTAACCTACTACCCACCCTAAGCCAAGGGCACTGCTGTTTTCTTTTACCCCATGTCCACATCAGGAGGTAAGCTCTACAGGCCAGGAAGTTAAGTAACGTGCCCAGGGTAGGTTTTCGGCGAAGGGGGCAGGTTTAGAGTCACTCGATTTCTATCTGAATTTCACAGTCTACAGGCTCTGCAGTGGGAGGCGTGGGGCGGTCGCACAAACACTCTACACGAAAGGCCGAAGCTCACCGCTCACAAGCCCAGCACCTCCTCGGCTGGAAGCCCCTCAGCAGGAAGTAGCGGATGCGCGCAACGTGGGTCCTGGGAGCCCAATCAGCAGCCCTCGGGCTGAGTCACGTGCCAGCCAAAGATGGCTGCGCCCAGCCGCGTTGAACGAAGGTTGCAGTGAGCCTTAGGGGCCGAGGAAAATCGGAGGGAGCAGTGACTGCTGGGAGGAGAGCATAAGGTACTGACAGTCTGGGGACAAAAGTGCAGTAAGGGCCTGGGTGTCAGAAACACAGAGCGGTGACAGGCTTTTCACCGACAACCCGGGAATAAGATCCGGGACTGGGTCGGAAGGGGAGGAGAGAAGTTGGTCCCTCAGCGCCATTTCTTCTTTCCCACCTTAGAAAAAAAGGCCTTATATTTAAAGTAAGCCAGTGGCGGGGGAGGCGGGGGGGGGGGGGGCTGCACATGAATTTGACCCCGGATTTACTGCCAATGTATAGGGTATTCTGGGCCTAACATAATTTTCAGAAGCCCCACTTTTCTCATTAACTCGGAGTTATCCTGAGTGGCGTGAAATAATAGAGAATTCAAAAGCTGTTTGAAGTATTTGTAGTATTTAAAAGTGGCCTTGCCTTTGATAGGGATTTATTATTGATAATGGGGACGAAATGACCTACTGCGGGCTGCCAGATCAGAACTTTTACCGAATTAAGGATGACTTTTAATAGCCGCACCGTAGAAATGGCTAGTACACAGAACCCAGAACCTTACCAATATGCAGAACATAGAACAGAAAGAAAACTAGGATAGCATTAGGAAGGACTCTCTGAGGAAGTAATTTCTTTTATTTCAAACATATAAACCATATACTTTTTATATACTGAATTTGATTACTTGTTGATGTATCTCTCCACCTTCCTTCACCCCCAACAAAAGCAAAGCAGTTAAAAGCTTCTGTAGGGTAGAGGTTGTGTCTATCATGTTATTGTAACCAAGGCCCTCAAAAAAAAAAGTTTGAGTTCACGATACCTAGATATAAATTTCTAAGCGTGCATTGTACTAACTAGGTTCATTTTAAGTCTAGGGATATGAAATATTAGTGTCAACATTTCCCAAATAATCTCTTATCTAACAGGTACCCCAAAAATGTAAAATTAGTGGTGTAAATTATTCTTTTAGCAAATGGATGATAGTGAACCAAGAATATCCAATTTCATAAAATTGTGTTGTCCTGTGCTGTTTTTCTCTGAACTTTTGCTTAACACTGCTACCCTGAAATCTCATTTAATAAGCTAAATCTTCAGGGAAAAAGTTAACATTCACCCCAACTAGTGCATAGAACAATGAACTACTGGCTTGTGGGCCAGACAAAGCCTACAGCTAGCCAGCTAAAAATGATTTTTATATTTTTTCAAAGCATTCAACAAAGACCATAGGTGACACACAAAGCCTAAAATACTATCTGGCCCTTTAGAGGAAGTTTGCCTACCTCTGCTGTAGGATATACCTAGAAGTGAAATTGTTGGGTGTCTTCTACCTACTAAATATTACCAAATTTCTTTCCAAAGTGGTTGTACCCAAACTGGATATAATTTATGCTTCCACCTGCAACACAAGTTACCCTACATTCTTGCCAATAATTGAAATGGTCAGGTTTTTTGCTTTGTTTTGAGCTAACCTAGGTACACATATTGGTATCACTGTGGTTTTAATTTCTATTTCCTTGATTATGAGGTTAAGCATATTTTCATGTTTCCTGGCTGTTTGGCCTTCCTTTCATTGAAATGCTTGTTCAAACCTTTTGTCAATCTTTCTGTTGGGTTGCTTGCTTTTTTGTTAATTTGTGCTTTACATATTCTGGGTACTAACTACTCTTGTCAGTTATATTGCAAACATTTCTCCCCCACAAGCTTATCTTTATGGTGTCTGTTGATGAACACAAATTCTTAGTTAATATTTGTTTAGTATTAGTGTTACATCTTTTGGTGCTATTTGCAAATTAAGAAATATTTTAAAGAATTATAAAAATACTCTGTATTCCTAGAAGCTTAATCTGCTGCTGTTCATGTTCTGATTCTATTTCACTTAGAATTCATTTTGGGAGGGGGGTTATGGTGTGTATGCAGATTATGAATTCAGTCTATAGCTAATTCTCTTGAAATTATTAATGGTCTTCAGACTTTTTACAAGCCCTTTTTTTGTTTTTTTTCTCTATAGATATGCATTATTGAAAAATGGTTTTTTAAATTTTTTTAAGGCTCAAGATGGAAAATCATGAACCAGATATTGTCAAGGAAAGCCTTTTTGATATCATAACCAGAAAAATTAACCAACTTCCAGAAGCAGAAAGGTAGGATCCTGTCTTAATTAAAAATATCTTTTACCAGGTGTATTTTCATTATCTCAAATTTATTTGGTTTCATTGTAAATAACATAGACTGTCAGAACGAAACTGAACCAGTTTTCTTGCCTTGAGAAAACCAACGCCTGGCAAGATTAACCATTTGGCTTGAAGTCAAGGCTAGGATTCATGTATGATGGGTCTCATTTTTTTCCATTTGGCTTAGAATATAGTCAAATGTGTATTTGTGGACTCATACAAATATCAAAACTTTAAAATAGCTTTTAAATTGTCTTCAATTCATTTTTATCATTATACTTACCAGTCTAAGAGAATGCCTTTTAACACACATAGCTAGACAAGGGATCTCAGAAAATAGAATCATGGTTAAAAGATCTTTAAGATACCATTAAATAGAAAATGGCCTTGTAGGAAATGTACTGATCTATGAAGACACACCGAGTGAACTATAGTACACTTGCACAAAATGCGTTTAGCTCTCTTTGGCTAGGTTAAATTTAAACTGAAAGTCTGAGCCCTGGCCAGTGTAGCTCAGTTGGTTGAGCATTGCACCAAGAGGTCGCCCATTTAATTCCTGGTCAGGGCACATGCCCAGGTTTCAGGCTTGATCCATGGTAGGGGGCACATAGGAGGCAGCCAACAGATGCTTTTCTCCCTGTCTCAAAAAAAAGACTCAATGAAAACCTAACAAAAAAGAAAAAGTTTTTTAATCTGATACAAAAAAAATGAAAAGGAAGGAGTCAGCCTAGAGAGAAAGGAAGTTTCTCAAGAAGAGAGAATGGCATGTGTCTGGGCCACAGAATAACAGTTTGTCATATTTGAGGAACCAGTGTTACTGAAGTACAAGGGAAGTAGGCATAAGGCTGAAGGAACAGGAAGAGTTTTAGGCAGGGAATGATGTGATCAGCTAACATTTCTAAAGTACATTCCAGTTTCCTTTTGGAAAATAGATATAAGGTAGGAGAGAAAAGACCAAAAGGAAAACTCATGGTTATCCTAGTAGGTTGTGATGGTAGGGTGATGGCAGTTGAAATGAAAATAGGATGGGTTGGAAGTATAAAGTAATTTTATATACCATATATTTAATTGCCACTTGCTAAATTTGGTCTTATATTTTACCTGTTTAGTTCATGTGTCTAGTTACTTTGTATGTCTTGACAAAATATCACGAGTTTCTAGTTGTATAAGCATTTTTTTTTTTTTTGGAAAATTGGTAAAGGGTCTGCCAAATAATGTTGTACTTACTAAATTATTTAAAAAATGTGACTTAAAGCTATAGTAAATTAAAATCTGATTGGGAGACAGCAGACTTTGCCAAATTCCAGTTGCACACTTTGTTTTATTTACATATTTATTTATATTTTACCTCTGAATATTCGTTCCTATGACTAAAATGGAGATGATATATATTGAACAGGAATGTTATGAAGATAAAATATTTTAGAGGAAGTATTAAAATTTCCAAGTCCCACAAAAATAGGTCTTTCACATTCATGTTTTCTGTTGTTTGGCAGGTTCTTCTCTAGACTCTCATCACTCTTTAAAAATTTTCTTAGTACCCTAAGTTACTAAACTGCCTCTCTCCTACTGCCATTACCATTTTAATAGACTGGTGTATCTTAAGTTTACATGTCTTTCATTGAACCTCTAATAATTGAAAACAGTGAAGGTACAAGGTAATTTTTATGCCTTCAGCAGAAGTCTGATGCCTATAGCAAAGTGATTCAATGATAAGCAACATTATGTTTGTGAAAGGTTAAGAAAAGGAATACCTTATACAGTGTAGAAAGCTCAATTAATTATTCCTAGGAAACCTGTTTTAAGAGTGTTAACCACAGAAGTCAGAGGGGCTATTGTGTAGCTAGTTTGGCTAAGAGTAATAGGATTGAGCAAAAACACACACACACACACACATATAAACAAAGACACAGACAACAGTGTGGTGGTGATAGCCAGAGGGAAAGGGGGGTCAGCTGGAGGTGGAGGTGGGCAAAATGGAAATGAAAAAAGACTTTGCTTGGAGCGATAGGCACACGATGCAGTGCGCAGATGTTTTATTGAGTTGTTCACTTGAAATCTGTATGGTTTTGCAAACCAATGTTACCCCAGTGCATTTAATTTTAAAAAAAAGAGTAACGAGAAATTTAACAGGTCGACACCTGTTTTGTAGATGGCAAGGCAAGGTGGTCAAGTTAAGTGGTAGGCTGAAGAGTTTGGAGTACTTTCAATATCCAGCAATAATTTTAGGTATTTTTCCAAAATTCAAGAATGCTCAGAACGTGTTTTAAACGCATACATAACCGTAGCTTAAAATCCACTGTCAAAGCATTTATTCTTATTTGAATGAGTTGTTGTAAGGTACCTGGCATATAGTATCTCTTAAATGTTAGTACTCTTCTAACCTACCCCCTCCCCCAATCCTGACGTTAAGGAAGAATGAAAGGAAATGTTAACTCTACCTCTTTGAATGCTTTCTGTGTGTCTGACACTATTGAAACCAAGAGAGATTTCTTTGTATCCATTGTCTTCAGCTTGTTTACAGTGGGGAATTCCTTATAATGTGTTGTGCTACATGGGTAAGTATAGGGTATTGTGGGAGCCCAGAGGAGAGGCATCCAGTCACTCTTCAAGCTCTTTCCTGCTATATATAGTTGGGGGGAAATTTCTAATGTCCTTTGCAAAATCACAAAGTATAGTTAGTAAAATCTAAATGTATCGCTGTATCCGTGTTACCATATCCAAGAAACTTTTATAATTAAAAACCTATACATAAAACATAGTAATTTTAAAAGGTTTTTGTTTTATGAAACTATAAGAGACAAATATATCCTGTTAGTTCTAAAGTCCCAGTAAGTTCTCTAACATATGCCAGAATTGTTGGAGAGCTCCTAACATAACAGAGCTGAAGAAAACATTCCTTTTTTTATTTCCCCACCCACTCAGGAATCTACTTGAACATGGATCAACATATGTTGGATTTAATGCTGCTCTCAGTGGCCTAATAGCAAACAGTCTTTTTCGGCGCGTCTTAAATGTGACACAGGCTCGTATAGCTGCTGCTTTACCAATGGCAGTGATCCCGTTTTTGACAGCGGACATATCTTACAGAGGTTTTATAAGTTTACCATTGAATACAGGTAAATTCTATTTCACTATCACCAGAGAGTTTGCTTTGGTATATATTATTTGCACCTTACATTAATTCTTAAAATGGCAATTAATTCATATTAGCATGGCCTACCAAACAAGTGCACATACATAGCAGTTCTAAATACTTTAACTTCTCTCTCCCACAGTGCTTAGAATAAAAAATATTTGGAAACCTAATTTAAAAAGAAAATACTGACTTTGTTTTGTTTAAAAAAAAAAAAATTAGAGAATTCCCTAAAGGGAAAAAATATTTTTATGGGAATAAGACTATATAGTAAATCTCTCAAAACACTTAGTGTACATAAAAGAATTATTAAATGTATGGAGACTTGATTTTCTTTTGATAGTTACCATATGTACTGAGTGCTTTGAGTATAGCTAATCATGAAAAAGGTTTTGATTAGTGATTTGAAATAAAAGTATTACAAGTGGTGGTGGAGAGGGAAGCAGTTCATTTAAATTCTCTTCTGTTAAGTGCTGCTCTAAATTTGTTTAAATTGTATGAGTATTTTGCTTGAATCCATATAATCAGTGTGGAAAAAACTTTTATGATCCAGGGAAGCCAAATGCCCAGTGAATTGAACAGACTGACTAAGGAAAACATAAGTTATAACTTAGCTTTCTATTTCTTTAAAATGTTTTTGAGCCCTGGCCGGTTTGGCTCAGCGGTTGGAGCATCGGCCTGCGGTCTAGAGAGACCCGGGTTCGGTTCCCGCTAAGGGCACATACCTTGGTTGCAGTTTGTCCCCAGCCCTGGTTGGTTGTGCGGGTGGCAGCCACTTGATGTGTCCCTTTCACGTCGATGTTTCTCTCTCTGTCTCTCTCTTCCTCTCTCTCCCTCCCACTCTATCTGTAAAAAAAATGGAAAAATGTCCTCGGGTGAGGATAAAAAAAATAAATAAATAAATAAAATGTTTTTGATTTTGGAGAGAGAAAGGGACATAGAAACATCAATTGGCTGCCTCACGCATGCCCCTTACTGGTGATTGAGTCTGCAACCCTGCATGTGGCCTGACCAGGAATCAAACTGGAGACCTCCTGGCACAAGTGATAATGCTCAACCAACTGAGCCAGGCATTAGCTTTCCTTTTTTTAAATATACTTTATTCTAATTTGGAAATAAATAAAGAATTTCATAAAAATAAAAGTCACACTATATAATGTAAAAATATAAGATGAAGTATAAATTGTAAAAAAAAATTTCCCATAGATTACAAATGCAGCAAGCTAGGAGCAGCACAAACTGAGATTATACTCAATCAAGTTCCGAACAAATTAAAGAAATTCTCCTGAGATGGTTAATCAGTTACCCTAGCTGTACATGTAATTATACCTTTTAACACACCTTGCAGAATTGTATTTGCTCTATTACTGCCTGAAAATAGAATCCTTAAAATAGAGTCCTTGTGAACATATAAGGGGACTTTGCATTCTTTAAATCATGTTTGCTTGACTATCATGACCTTCATTTCCAGAACTAATTTATTTCCTAGGTGATTTGAATTGTGAAACCTGTACTATAACACGAGCTGGATTGATTGGACTTGTTTTTGGTGGTCTGTACCCTGTTTTCTTGGCTATACCTGTGAATGGTGGCCTAGCAGCCAGGTAGGATTCTTTGTTTTCTCATAATTATTGAAAAACTTTAGTAATATATAAAAGATTACCTAGGAAATGTATAACTTAAAACAGCAAATACATTGTTTTTTTCTTTTTCTTTTTTTGGTATGTGCCCCTAGTGGGAACCGAACTTGGGACTCTGGTCCACAGGCTGGCCAGGGCAGCAAATACATTTTCTAACACAATGTTACCTTTTGATTGGAAAGAGTTAAGACTTATTTTTTCTTATAATCAACTCAAGAATTTGAAAACAGTTCTAGAAATGTATCACACTGTACCTCTTGGGTGTGTAGTTAGGTTCTTGACCTTAATTTACAGTTTAGGTTAATTTACAAAGCTGAAAATAATATTTATAAATAATAATAAGTATATAAACCATAAGATTTTGAGCACTTCCACTAAAGGAAAATTACATCAGAAAATGTCTAGCCTTCTGCTCCAAAATAATTATTATTCTCTGATGAACTCCTATATCAAGCAGTCTATGCTATATGAGCCTCCAGAGGTGAACTGGAGAAAGAGATAAAAAAACAAAATTTCCCAATAAGGAACAGTTTTTAGGACTTAGAGTAGCAATGCCTTAATCTTTACCTAAACTAAAGACTTTTGTGATTAACACATATATTGTACATCGGTCTGCCACTGGCACAATGATCTGTTCTAGTGAACTGCTCTCTGTTTTCTTACAGGTATACCTCAGCCCTGCTACCAGAGAGAGGAAACATCTTAACCTACTGGACCAGAATTTCTAAGCCTATCTTTAGAAAGATGTTATTTCCCATTTTGCTCCAGACTGGGTTTGCAGCATACCTTAGTTCTAGACAATATAAACTACTTATAAAGGCTCTTCAATTACCTGAACCTGGCCTAGAAATTCAGTGATTGTTAAAAATGTACACAAAAATAAAACTGTAAGAATAACTTATGTCTACTGTATGAATAAATATAGACTTGTAATTTATCACATGAGGTACAACTAACTCTGAGACGTACAACAAAAGGCTACACGGTACAACAAAAGGCTACACAGCACAACAAAAGGCTGAATACCACTAAAGGATACCTGCTTAAACAAGAGCATAACTTCTATAGTTTGCCCAATAGTGTCTGTTCACCACAGCTTGCTCTATGCCTTCTAATTAGGCAGTTTGGTCTTTAACACATTAAAAAAAATAACCACAAAGCAGTTTACAATGTAGACTTCATTAAGAATTCAAACAGGAATGAAAATGGGGTGGAGTGGCAGTAATCAGCATACTGCAGCAAATGTTACTTACACTTCATTTTCCAAATTTAGTGTTTCCATTGGTTATTAATCCATAGAATCTTAAAACAAATTTATCAACCTTCCCCACAGAAGGATCAATTCTAATATTCAGGCTCAACTTGAGCTCTTCTAATGATATAGTTATATACTTCAAAAAATTCACCTATTGTATCTTTGGAAAGCTATATACTTAGAAGATTGAGGCTGATCCTATCTTTGAAGTTTCCACCTAGTATGGAATAGTTCTTTGGAATCAGACTCGAGTGTTTTTTGTTGTTTTTTTTTTTAGCTGTGTGATGCTAAGCAATTTAACTAGCCTCTCTGGCCCTCAATGCTCATTAACCTCACTTAGTATAGGTATTGCATAACATGTAATTTGCCTAACATAGCACCTGATGGTCTCAGGCACTCACATAGTAGCCAATTGCTCCTGTGTTTGTTTTATGCAATATTCTAGTCTTCCCTCATTTCCTAAGATAGATCATTTAAATTTTAGAAGTGACCTATTATGTTCCCTTCCTAAAACTTTTTGATCTCAGTTCTTTAAACCATTTTCTTTTGTAACAGCATCTAAATCAATATTATCCAACAGAACTTTCTGTGATGTTTTATAGCTGACTGACAATGTTAGCTATCAGCTATTGAGCACTTGAAATATGACTAATGCAACTGAATAACTGAATTGTATTTTAATTAAATTTTAAGCCACATGTGGCTAAAGGTTACTAGACAGCACCTATCTAGACCAACACTTTGATGAAACAAGTCGGTTGCACCAAACAAAATATTAAGTGATATCACAGATCATATTCACAAGATCTTAACTGTTTTTTCCAAATATAGTTACGTAACTGTTGTGATCTTACGCTCCTTAAAATTACATGAAAGGAGAACATAGCCTGTCATCTAGAAAAAGCACCTTCGTGAAATAGGCTTTCCAGATTAAAATTGAAGTGAAATTTAAAAAATAACATTTTTAATTTTTCAGAAAGCAAAGATGATTTTTCAGCAGGTACTTAAAATGTATTATTCCCTACCAAAGAATACAAGAAATGATCCCAATTAGGAGGCAAAGATTCTGTTTTACTGTGGATATTCAATTACAAGTAATTTTTCTTTACATGTTGATCCCTTTTTGAATTCTCAGTTATCTATAATGAATATGCTCTACTTTTACAACTAAAAATATATATATAAATTTAAAAGGAAAAAAAGTTACCTATTTTACAAGCTAAAGTATCAAGATAAAGCTCTGACCCCAAATTATACTTTTTATCTGCACTTTTATTTAAAGCAGAGTTCTACCTGTCTTAGTGAATAAAAAACAATGAATTAAAAGTAATTCCTGACTTCAAAAATAAAAAATTCAAATTACTAAATTAGACTCCTTAAAAGCAGAGCATGGTATAATCAATTTGAATAATTTAAAATCCACTGATGCAACTAAATTACTGCAAATTATTTCCTTATATATCAAACATTTCCACAGTATTTACTCCCTAGCACACCATCTATAAATGAATATAAGAATTCACAATGGTTTCAGAATTTCTTTCTGATATGTCCTTTACTCCATCTATTTCTTAAATCATCTTTTCAATTAATACAAATGAGCAACATAAGCAAAAGAGCATGTTATTTTAAATCTGTTTCTATAAATCTACCTCACCAAAATTTTTGGTCAGGGGGCAGATAAGTGACATATGAATCTGCATTATAATGTAAGGAAACAGTTATTTGCAGCAAAGACCTAAAGAACACTGCCTCAGTCAGGAAAATAGTTTTTTTAGTATTTCAGTTCAGTGACAGCAAACAAACTATTTAAATCTGTCTTTTACAATTTAGTTATCTGGCTTTAAAAAGAAAGGGTTCATATATACTTACTTATACTTAAGTAAATGTAAGTTTATAAACTCCAAACTATAAGTACACTCAAATTCAGAGGGGGTGTGGAGGGCAAGGGTTCTAGGGTCTAGGAAATTAACCTCAATGGGTATATAATAGGAATGATACAGGAGGCACATTCTAAAGAAAATTGGTCCACCAATAAAATTCATATCTGCATATTAGCAGAACTACACACACGTTCAAAACGACATTAGTGATTAGATTTTAAAATTAGGTTAACTGAAAATTGAGAAAAACCATTCTCAAAACAATAAAATTTTAAAAATTATTCAAGTCTGTCGTAAACTGGCTTTTTTTAAAAATGGGGAGAAAGCCCTGGCCGGTTTGGCTCGGCGGTTAGAGCGTCGGGCCTGTGGTCAGAGAGACCCGGGTTCGGTTCCCGCTAAAGGCATGTACTGTACCTCGGTTGCAGTTTGTCCCCAGCCCTGGTTGGGTTGTGAGGGTGGCAACCACTCGATGTGTCCCTTTCACGTCGATGTCTTTCTCTCTCCCCCCCCCCACTCTATCTGAACAAAATATCAAAAAAAAAAAGAAAAAGTTAAAAATGGGGAGAAATACCTGGGTAAGAAATCTTAAATGTACAATTGGGGAAAGGTAAAAAACTAGAAATAAAAACACCACTGTCAATAACCAAAGCAATGAAAAAAGGCAAATTTGTGACCAACTTTCTATTAACCTATATCTAAAAATAAAAAACAAAAAACCAATTTTTCTCTAACATTAAGATTTATATTCCTAATGATAAAGTAATTTACTTTCTGAATAAAATTTTAAATACCTCTAGTTTAATTTTTCTTTTCTTCAAAAAAAAGTAAATGACCATTTGCAGACTAGGTCAGAGCTCAGTCTGATATTGTAAGACAACAGGGAGTAACTGGTGGACAAAGTACTGACACATTCAAGTTCAAATATGTGAAATATACTGTGTTGACCAAACAAAACACTCTACAAGTTTCTAATGAAAGACCTCACCCCCTTTTTTATTCCTGGTTTCTGAAGAAAAAAACAGTACAGTAAAATATAAACATTTGGGAGGGTCTCAAAACTGTATTGATAGTAAATCTGGGAGGAAAACTAAAAACTTGAAAGTATTTTATTGCCTAGTTATCAGATTGTTTAAAAACCTGACCAAGTTACTAAGACCTTAAACTAAACTGTCAAAATGTTAAACTTTGCAATCACATATTTTAAAAGATAATTACTCATTACCAGTGAATTATCCACTCTGTGTTCCATCAAAGCAAGATAAGTTGATGTTTAATCATTGGTGTGGCATACAATCAGCAGTACTGTTAGTACTGTAAAAACACCTATCAGTCACTTAAGTATAAGCCACTGGGAATACTCTTTGCTGCCAGGCATCATAGACACTTAGAATACAAGAAACTGGATGGATTTAATAGGTTTGTATAATATCATACAATAACCAAACTGTGTATTATTATGATAAATTATTCTGGAAAGAAAAGAAAAGAGAGCCTATGTCCTTCCATCTCCCACTTCTATCATCTGCACACTTCCCAAAGGTAAGATAGCACAGCTCGATCTACACCAGGTGAAAGAATGTATTAACATAATCCAACAAAAGTGAAATAAAACAATCCAGAGTTCTGAGTGTTTTTTCACACTGTAATAAACTAGAAAAATGTTTCAATTAAGTAAAACAACCATATTCCATGAAAAAAGTGTCACTCCGATCTAGAACACTAAAGTCCTTACATAATACTAGAGAAATTTTAATTTATATAAAACAATAGAAACTAGTATATCATTCATTAGAAACCTCAAAATATTCAAAATTTTGTGTCAAGTACTCAGAGAAAAGCTCAAAAAGCCAAAACCTCACAATCCACACATCCTGGTAATACCCTGAATTGCAGTTAACTCATTTAATCACAAATCAACTTTTTCAAAGACATACAGACAATGCTTCTATTTAAAAAGATTACTCTTTATATTTAAGGACTTTACATTCTTTCACATTCTACTTGGCAAGATCTGTCTGTACTTCAGATTATCTCTCATGTTCCAGTAAATAAACACAAACTCATGATATGCCTGTGATCACTGATGGCTTGTTTATGCAATTCTACTCCACTAAATTCCATATAATGTGTTCTTGATTATGTAAATAATCTAATACTCCTTTGATGAAATACTGTAATTCTCTTCTCCAATGGTTACAATTTTTTAAAAGGTATGCAAAGAACTGAGTATCACTCCTATGAAAGGCCAAAAAAAAAGTGTAATTTTGTTCCAAAATTAACTTAGTCTCGTGTCTTTCTATTAAGTCTCTCAACGATTCCAGAGAATCTTTTCATATCTCCATATCTGGAAAGTGAAACCAGTACTGAAGTAATTTGGGAACTTGAAAATGGCATTCTTTTTTTTCAGCAGATGCCAAATTTTTGACCGACATGGCTCCCACAATTACTTTGTTACCATCAGTCCAGTCAGTTAACAGGTTGTAGGAAAAGATTCGCTTTTGCAGACACTGCTAAGCTGTTTAAAGAGAAGAGAGAGAGATTAATTTAGTGATTATAAAATGTACAAATATTTTAAATATTTTGAACACTTTGTTGGCTTATATCAGAGGTGTGACTACATTTTAACAAACATGGACATTTTAGTTAAGTCAGGTCAAGGGAGTGCAGAAACAGTAAGTCAATATGGTAGAAATAGTAGGTCAATATGATGTGTTAGTTCAATTAATGTATGAATTCCTGTCACCATCAGAAGACAAATATTAAAAAGCTACATCTTGTTCTATAGCATTTGCCACAGAGGCAAAAGCAGGAGGGGGAAAAAAAAAAAGGTTGCCCAAATACTAAATTGTTTTCATCCATTACAGTAAATAGAGCCAAACCAGAAAGTTTCAAAACAATCCATATATTCCAGAAATCTCCTTTATACAACTATTATTCACCAGAACAGTTTTCTAAAAATAGTAAGACAACAGTTTCATATTAATCATAACTTTTTTAATTAACAAGTAGTGAATAGGACACTTTAAGATATTGTTTACTACATACTGAAATAAACAGATCTGTTATAAATTCAGAAATTCAAACATTTACAGTAAAATGTGCTTACACATAAATATGACCAAATTTATTTAAATCCCGTTAGGTCCTAAATACATGCAATACCATGTAAAAACAAGACTATGAAGTTGATGTAAAAAATGACAAAATCACTGTCACCAAAATTAGAAAGAAAAAAAAAAATGAAATGGAAACTAAGACAGTTAAAACATAAGTAACCTAACAAAGCAGCTTTAAAAATAGGCGATACTAATCCCCACTTTCAAAAGTTCTTAATCAAGTATTTTCAAAAACTGCCATTTATAAAATGACATTCTAAAAGTCTACACTTGGAATTTCAAAGCATCCCAACTCAGAAAGCTTTTGACTACTGTTTTTCCCAAGCTCCAACTTCAAATAATGCAGGAAAAGCATTGACATTAGAAGAAAATATTCCAGGGAATGGTATAATTTTTAGAAAAACGCACTTACTGCTTTCAGAACCTTTAAGACCCACAGTCAACGTGAACAACAATCATTTTTCCTATTCTCATCGGTTATTTTTCAATGTCATATTAGAGATGAAAAAATTCTTTGAGCCCATAACTGAAAGATCAACAAACCTGGTTTTATTATGACACCATATTTTTGTCATTGGTACTGCACAAAATTATATACAAAGAAGTATATACAAAATGTTCAAGTATTAATTAAACTTCAATTCAAGGCTTCTGTTTCAAAAATCTACATTTAACATATTCCATAAAGATAGCACAAATTAGTCATTTCAAATAATTTTTCCAACTACTTTTGGTTTATATATAGATATATATATGTATAATTCAGTAGGCACTAAAAACCCATGCAGCTGCATCGTGACGGGCTTGCTCCTGCACTTAGCTATAAGCAGGTTCATCACTCCAAGTTGTGAGTTTGGCTACTACCCATTCATGCTCAAGTGCAGTAGATGATTTTACAAAATTGCTGTGATGCACTGGGAACCAGAGACCAAGTTAGGTCTCAAATAGTATTATCTAGCAACAAAACATTTACAGTTGTGCAAGAACAAGGATTCCATTTTCATAAACAAATAACAACAAAATAAAACATTTTGTGTGTAAGAGAACTTACATCTTTGGACTGCCGAAAAAACCTCTTAATTATGAACGTTTTAAAAGAAAGACAGCAGAAGCCCTGATATTACCTCTTTTTCCTCATTTCTTATACTACCTTTTAAAATAAAGCAGGAAATGTGGCCAGCAGCTGGTCCCGTCTCTTCTGCCCCAACAGCTGTATCCACTTTAGCACAAAGAAAAACAAGGATGCTAAATAGGTATATACTTTATCAAACAGTGATGTTTCACAAAGAATTTCATAATGCCTCTTATACTGACAGTCACCATAACTCAATTTATACAACTGGACAAGAGATAACAGAAAAACTTCAAGGGAAGAATATATCCGATCTTTGGAAAGTGTCAATCATGTCATTAAGTAGCCAGAACTACTCAATTGAAATATGGAAAGATTCTTTGTGAAGCCTCACTTTACATGTTTTCATTCACATTTCACAACCTTCAAAATTGAATCATACATAAATTTAACCTAAAATTTTTATACAACAAAAATAAAGGTTTTCAACAATTTATTCATACTCAGTGATAGGGTAATCACTGTGCTGGTCCTCAAAGAAACATTTCATTAACCATTCTTATTCCTCCTTTAAATAATTAACACAGGAGTCTGATATGCATGTTAATTTCCAACTTCTCTAATGGTGCGATATTAAAACCTAATAACCTGAATAATGTAGTTCTAGATCTACTTAAAACTAAAAGGCATTCTTGAATATTTAAGTTATTTTGTTGTCACCTCCAGCAAAATAACTATCATATTTATGCATGCCCCAAACACTTATTGTCAACCTCTGAAAAGTTGCTCTAATACTGGAATTCCAACTTGCACCTTGTACAACTCAGAACTTCCATTCAACTTCACCTGTTTCACTGTCTCCAAACTGTATCTCTAATAGCAGCTTTCAGTGTACAGTTGGAATCGATGTCATCCAAGGCCATGTCCACACTGGGGACAGAAGAGCTAGGTACACGCAAGTCTGAACAAGGGGACACATTAACAGCTATTTCAACCATAAGAAGCATCTTAAATACATTATTGACCAGCACAAGTCTGTTTCCAGGGTGGACAGGGCCCAAATTAGATTCCCCTCCCGCCTTTCAAAAAAGGAAAAAAAAAAGAAAAAAAAAATCACACGCACACACAAAATTGAGATGTTGCCCATTAAAGTAGACTAAGCAGCAGAGCATGAGCGTTACGTGAAGAGATGGATCCTTACCAGGTTGTGAGGCGGGAACGACTGCTCTGTAACCCCTACAACGGAGCCTGGCAGGAAGGAAATCACCTAAAAAAGAAACTGTCAGAGAGATTTAATAGTCACATGTTATCATTGGGAGTTGGTTACAGTGTCACATTCATGCTTTTAGCTAAACACTTAAAGATTCAATATTACTTTTTTTCCTCCTGAAATGTGTCCAGTGACGATGTCCCACTAAGGTGTTTTACATGGTGTAGGGGAGTTGAAAGGGGTAAACGCGGATAAAGAGCAGATTACTTGACCCTACATTTTAAGAGAAGACGACGCCTTCCGGGCGCACGCCGAGCAGAACTCCACCGACACCTTATCCTTGTCCACATGAAGACACACTCCGCCCGCTGAGTCGTCCTCTTCCAGCAGGTCCTGCTGCTGCTTTCCCACCGGCAAAGCGTAGTCATGGTCACCGGCTGGCGAGTCTCTGAAGAGCGAGGTGGTCAGCCGCAGTCCCACGCCGCTCAGCCGGCTCAGCAAGCGAGCCAGTCCGGTCTCGTTGGCCAGGACGGCCCGTAGGTAGCGACTCTCCTCCTGCAGTGCTTGCACGCGCTTGCCCAGCTCCCGATTCTCGGCCCGCAGCTCCTGGTTTTCGGCTGCCAAGCCCCGGACTCGACTCTCCAGCCCCATCACGTACTCCTTCTTCTTCAGCCGATTAAGACGGGCAGCAGCCGCCGCCGCCTTCCGGGGACTCTTTGTCGCCGCCTGGTTGTTGTCGTTGCCGCTGCCGCCGCCGCCGCCGCCGCCTCCGCCAAGGGACTTTCTCCGCCTCTTTTCGCCGCTGCCACTGTCACTGCTGCTGCTGCAGCCTCCAATACCGTTTAACAGCCTCTGCAGCAGGTCAGAAAAGCGCTGCATCTCGGCAGCCGCGGATTCGTCGTCGTCGTCCCCTCTCCATAGACCGCCACTATCGGAGCCTCCGCCGGACGAGGAGAGAGGCCCCGGCGAGCTGAGCCCGGGTTCCAGGTGCCAGTCCGGTTGCCGGGGGTCCAGCAGATCCGCCAGTTCCAGCCCGGACAGAAAGTCCATGTCCTCCGTCTCCTCCCCGGGGACGCTGGCGATCGCCTCCTCCTCCATGTCCTCGGGCGAGGGCGCGCGCACCGCTACGCCGCCGCGGCCGCCCCTCCCGTCCTCCAACTCGCCCTCGCCGCCGGGAGATCTGGAGGCCGCCGTCTCTTCCTCCTCCGCTGCGGCCGCCCGGGCCCAGTCCCGGGGCAGCGGGCAGGTGGCGGCCTGCGCCGGGCTCTCGCTGCGGGTTGGGGAGTCAGTGCCCGAGGCCGCCAGGAGTTTGGTCAGGCTGTGCCTCATGGGGCCCAGCGGCGGGCCCCGGCCTCTCAGACCGGGCCTCGCGGGCCCCAAGGACCCCAGCGCCGGTAACCGGTGAGCTGGCCAGAACGAAACGAAGAGGAAGGTCCGAGGCGCCTCCCGCCCCACTTGGCTGGTCGACCCCCCACGCCCAGGCGGGGGGAGGGAAGAAAGACCCAGACGGCGAGGCCCGGCGATGACTCGCCCGCGCCACCCAGACAACGGCCTGGCCGGAAGTCAGTCGATCTCGCCCCAGCCCCTCCCACGGCGTTTCGCGCTCCACCGGGCTCTAGTATCGCGAGAGTTCAGAGAGCTCTGGAGTGGGAGTAATTCCAGATCTCTAGTGATGTCATAGTAACAGCCGCAAAAATAGCGACAAAATTCCGAGTTTATTGAAGGAAAAAAATGGTCTCTGTATTCTCGCTATCACTTGCAGTGAAACCACGCGCTCAGAATTGATCTTTTAGATATCAAATTTTAAATAAATTTAAAGTTCTAGTTTTCTCTGGAATTAGACTGGTAACCAGATCCCTCTTGAAATTTCCCCTTTCCCCTTCCGTTATAATACAAGATCTTTTCACTCAACACTTACAGAGTACTAGAAGTAAAAAGGTAAATGATTCATTCATATATAATTTAACTTTTCCTAGTTTTTCTTATTAAAACGTCCAAATATACAGAATATAGTACAGTAGTCACTCGAATTCAACCCAATGCCCAGACTCAACAATTCAACAATTAACGTTTTGCCATATGTGCTTTCCTTGCATATGAATGTTTGTAAAACATACTTATTTTTTAACTGACTCATCTCAAAATTGCAGACAAGACACACCACCCCAGCGTACTTCAATATGCATCTCTAAAACTAAGGACATTCTCTTTAATCATCGTAATACTATTATCAGGTTAGAGAAAATTACAATCATTTGCTAACACTATCTATTACCCAGACCCTATCCAAACTTCCTCAGCTTTCCTCAGAATAATCTTTTATATTGGATATTTGTTTTTTGAGCCAGTATCCAAACAAGAGTGACTTACTGCATTTGGTTGCGATTTCTTTGTGGGTTCCCCTCCCCCCTCCATTTCTCAAACTAAATTATTTCACTTTTTAGTTTTTCTTCATATTGGTTTTTTGAGGAGACAAGGTCAGTTGTTTTGAAAAATGTACCACATTCTGGATTGTTTCCTCATAGTGTTGTTTATCTTTGTTCTTAATCCCACAAAGTATTTGAGATTGGAAGCAGTTCACAAATATATTAGAAATAAAACAGTTCAAATTTTTAACAAACAAGGTCAGTGAAAATATAGATGAAATAGGAAGGGAGATAGGGAGTTCCAAAAGAGAGAAGAGAAAAGTTCGTTTCGGAATAGCATAAACATATCTTACAGTTACTCAAATTGATCTAACAATAGACTAAGCTCCCTGGCAGCCCAAACAAAGAGAGAGAGAGAGAGAGAGAGAGAGAGAGAAACTAACTTTCCTTTGTTTGCTCATGAGTCAAGTATACAGTGTATGAATTACTTAATCTTTATTCCAGTTCTTAGGTTTTAAAATTCTCTAGGGAATACTGAATAAAGTAGCAGACAACTTCAACAATAACTATTTTTATATGGCTGTTTCTTAGAAGAATAGAAAGCAAGTTCAAAGAAAGCTGGACACTGATAGGTCCCCAAAATCAGAACAGTACCTAGCACAGCTTGGGCTTCAATAAATATTTGTTGAATAACTGAATAAAGAAGATCTCCAGTTTGGGCGGAAGGCATAATACTGAAGGCAAACTAATGAAAACAATTCTGCCAGAGACAAGATAACTGTGATCTGTGGTATCTAGAAGAATAGATAAATGGCATTCACCTCCCTTTTAACCTTCCCACTAGGAAAGGTTTTGTTAAAGTAGAATACTGTACAGTTCAAGGTGATGTATATTCTGACCTGCCTTGAATTACAGATGTTTTGTGTGGTTGGTAATCCCATTCAACTGCATTTTCTCCTTAGGAAAAATTCAAAATCACGGATTAATCTATTATATTTTCCCCAGTTACAAGATTTTGGTTTAAATATACATGGCATAAGATCCTCTCCAATAGGACTAAGAGAAAAGTAGAAAATCGAAAGAGAAGGAAGTTTTTACAAGGTAGCCTCGGAATACAAAAAAGCAAGTGAAGCAAGAGTAAACCTCCCAGAAAATAGCTCCCCCTCCCTTTCACCACTCCTCCCTTTTCTTTTCCTTACTCTTCTCTCTCTTGCCTTCTACCAGTGGTTTTTGTTTTTCTTTTTCTAGTTCTAATGATCATTGCAAAAAATTCATAGATGTATAAAAAAGTACATAGTACCTACAATGTAACTACTAAAAAATAACTGTTATTAAAATTTTGGTATATGTATATAGAGAGTTTTTCTATGTACATACATACATTACTTCTTTGAACTCTCATGTTTGGGTATGAATATATTGTGAACTTTTTCATACAATTAAATATAGAGCCACATGCTTATTTTTGATGACTGTCTAGAATTCCATTTCATGAACTTTGCAACTTTTACTCAACCAGTTTCTCAATGACAACACATAAATTGTATTGAAATTTTCACTATTATAAATAATATGATAATGTTGTGCAAATAGCTTGGTTCACGTATCCTATAACTTCCTTACAATAAATTCTTTGAATTAGAATTTCTAGAAACAGTTTTTATACATAGATCCTAGTCCCTATGGAAAGGTATCTCTCACCAATGGTAAATGACAGTATTTAGCTCCTGCACACTCTGTGACAATGGATTTGTTCTTTTTAAAATATGCCAATCCAAAAATAACAAGTGGCATATACTCGTGTGAATTTACATTTCTTTGATTATTAGAAGGTTGAATATTTTGACACACCAATTGATTTTTAATCTGAACAGCCTTTTCACCTCCTTAGCCCTTTTTCTCTGAGGAGGGAGAAGATGTTCGTCAGGGAAAATGTTTATGTTTTTCCTTCTTGATTTAGATGAACTACTCCATTATAAGGAAAACAAACCTTTGTCTCATATATGTTTCAATTTTTCCCTCGTTGGTTATTTATTAGAGGATGGAAGAGGTGAAATTGCTTGTTTTGCTATAATTATTAAATAGTCAAGCTATTAAATGTTTCTTCATGGGTTCTGGCTTTAATATTAAGCCTAAAAATGTTTGTTAGCTTAAAGAATCAAATATTTACCTATATGTTTTAAAACTTCTTTAATTACTTTTATTTATATTTTATTGGTTTTTTTTAAACATTAGTAACAGTTTATTGCATTTTGATCCAAATGGAATTTACTCTGATATAAAATGTGACATAGGAATATAATTTTTCAAAAAGTGATCAGCCACAATAAAATTTATTAAGCAATTCATACTTGCTCTCCTTGTTTCCCAACATGTATTCCATATATCAAATTATTACATGCAGTTGGATCTATTTCTGGTCGTCTTCTTCTATTTCATTGATTAGTCTCACCATTCTGGAAGCATAATTGTTCTAATTTTATTGCAGTTTTATAATATATTTAATATCTCATAGGACAAGTCTTTTGTTAATCTTACTTTCTCAGAATTTTCTATCAACAGATGAATATTTATTCTTCCAGATAACTTCATAAATTTTCCAAGTTCAAAAAAAAGCTAGAATTTGTATGGAAATTGCACTAAACTTATTAATTTATTTTTCCCAGTTATTTGATGCACTTTTCTGCTATTGGACTAGATTATTTCTTCTTTTATATTTTCTAACTGGTTACTGTTACTACATAGGAAAGCTGTTGATCTTGTTGTTGTTGTTGTTGTTAAATTTTTAACTGACTAGCCTACCGAACTTTCTTAATAGTTTTTATTTTCAGCTTATTGAAATTTTCCTGATAGACAATTATGTCACCTTATTATATATATCAGGACAATTTGGCCTCCTTTGCCATGCAATAATAAAATAGCACTTCCACATTAATGTTAAATAATACTGTTGATAGCCAAGTCCCTTGTCCTACTTCTTACTTTAACAGGAATGCCTCTAGTGTCTAGCTTTTGATTTGAGATGGATATTTTTATTAGGTTAAGCTCAGTTGCAGGAAACAGATACCAATCCAGGTATTTTAAGCAGAAGAAGATGTACTGCAGAGAATGCATGCCTACGGAGTCATTGAAAGGATAGGAGGAGTGGGCATTAGGCTGGGTGATGAAGAATGCCAATCAGTACAGTGTGGCCAAATAGACCTGAACAAAAATGGCTATCTCTGCCCCAGTTGGGAAAGTGGTAAATAGAAAGCTGGAATATTGGCTTCAAGACCACTGTTGCTGCCCAAACTCTCAACCCCATGTATTATATTGCTGCCCAACAAGTTACCTAAAACAACAAATCTTTGCTCATTGTGTGACTTAAAACAACAATCAACATTTATTCTCTCTTGCAATTTCTCTTGGTCAGAAATTTGTAACTGCCTTGGCCATGCAGTCTGGCTCCAGAATTCTCATGAAATTCGGTCAGATTTTTGCTGGGGCTGCAGTTATCTGAAGGCTTGACTCAGACCAGAAGATCCTCTTCCAAGGTGACTGACAAGTTGGTCCTGGGGAAAGCCTCAGTTCCCCCTCCTTGTGGACCTGTCCACAAACTATCTGAGCATCTACACTACATGGTGGCTGGCTTCTCCCAGAGTGAATGATCCAAGAGACTGAGGAAGCAGCAGCATTGTTTATGACCTAGCCTCAAAAGTCACATATGATAGCTTCTGTAGTATTCTATTGGTCACATAAGTCAGACCTTACTCGCCGTGGAATGGGACTACACAAGAATGTGAACACAAGGAGACAAGAATTATTAGTGCTATCATGGGGGCTGGCTACCCTATCCCATAAAACTAGCAAATGCACATTGGGATGCTATTGCAGAAAAATGTGCTTGGCAACAATAGCCGAAGCAAGGGAAAAGGGCTCCTGCCTTATTTGCGTCTTCCAAATATAACTGCAGAGGAGTCTGCAAATATAGTTTGCGTTATGTCTCTGTTTTAGCTTTTCCATTTCTGCAATACAGGAAAGCATATTAAAAGATGGATTAAAATAGATAATGAATACCAATCCATCAAATTCTCCACATAGACCATGATTTCATGGTATATCAGCACCAATACATACATTTATAGAATTTTCTATAGTAGAGAATTGGAGCAGAGATAGTAGAGAGTGAAGCTGAATCAGGGT